TTGCTCATAAACCAGACTATAATTCAAACCGAAATTCGCACAGAAATTAGGTGACTTCTTTATTATGTTAATCAGGTGACCATGTTAGTGACAGGTGTTCATGTAGGACCAAGGTCAGTAGAAGATGGAGAAGGATGCCCCATGCCATATTACTGCTACTGCCACATGTAGACCGAAAAGATGGCACTGAAACCGGCAGCAGTATCCGTACAGATGATAGAAAAAGTATTGTAGCATTTCTTTGTTTTGCAATGGCGATATTTTCCCGAAATGGTGCGCTCTAGGCATAATGACCATGGGGAGATCTAACTGACGTGAAGGAGACTTTCTCTTAGCTTTCCCTCAGTGTCTTTTGGGTGCCCTTTTGTTTTGAGGGTTCAATATATATATATATATATATATATATATATATATATATATATATATATATATATATTTGTATAACTTTAAAGCTTAATTGCAATTTGTTAATTATAACGCAAAAGAAACTGACATAAGTAGCTGTAATGAACATGTGCTGTTTCATCACATGTTTAAACATTGTTTCATGAATGTGAATTTCTTCCTTTAATTCCAGTGACTTTATAACTACCGTTTACGAAGATACCAGAAGCGTCCTACTCAGAGACACGTTTCGTGTTCGATACATGCAGCCCCACACCCATTTCCTACAGTATATATGCCAACGTTTGTCTGCTCGTTAATTTGCAGGGACGAAATTAAGTACGGAATTTTATGCTTGCCTTGTGTTGTAACAACGTATATCTAATTAAAAGTCGCATAAAATGAGCTTTTTATTTATTAAACTTCTCCCAGTGATTAAATCCATACTAAGCGTCCACCCCGCATGTTGCTGGTATGCTCTTTTTGGTAATTGTATATTACTATGTCATAGTGCTCTATCATGGTGTTATGAGGGTTATTTATGTTTAGACCACGGTGTAAGTGAAGAACAAAAGACTCGGACGTGGTGTAACTCGCATAACCGCACGTCTTGCATGAATGCGTTATAACCCGTTCATGGACCGTGGTCTAAATAAGATAGACCCCTCGTCAGCGGGGGTTATGTGACATCCACTCGTGCTACGCACTCGTGTATGCCACATAACCCTCGCTGACTCGGGGTCTATCTATTACATATTTTTGTGTTGGGTTTGATACCAGTCCTTTTTCGAACCAGAAACGTTAGATTTGAATTTCTTATATAACAGAAATAATGTCTGTATAAAAATGAAAAAGTGACTGTTTTAAAATTATCATATATTAATTTCCTAGAAGAGAAATATTTTCTATTTGTCACTGAAAATATGTGTGGGCAAATCTGCAACTTGGCACCTCGCTGTTAACTTGAAGGTATACTCTTATTCATTCTAAATCATGTTGATTTCTGGTAACCCCGTAAAGTTAAATGCATATAGGAAATTTTTAATTACATTTATCGCGTGTTCAGTCGAAAAAAAGGAAGAAATATATATCTGCAAAAGACACTGTTAATAAAACGTACAACTCCTTAGAAATCCCAACATTATGTAACGGGCAAAATGTGCTCACGTGACTGCAGAATTGTCCACATGTACTGTAACGATTTTTTAAAACAATTCTGAATCTGGCACTGTGGCTGTGAATAAACTTCCTCTGGTTTTCGGTGTTTTCAGTGCTGGGCGGGGATCAAACATCTGTTTTCTGAAACAAAGTTAAACCATGGGGTGGGATAAAGATTGTCATCCGAAATAAAAATTAATTTAATATTGCAGTAGTAGAATGGAAATCTTTGTTGCATATATGATAAGAAGACTATTCCTATAGTTGGCTACAGTAATTTCCCAGGATTGGGATCATTTATATGCCGTTTATGACTTCTTGTAATGAACCTTTTACATATACCTATGACGAATGTCCTAAACTTATATAATTTTGTACGCTTAATTCAAGCGTGGGCTCGAAATAGGACATTACGTTTTAGACTTACTCAGTGGATAACGCTATTCAAAATTCCACGGTTCGTGTCAGATTTACGTAAGTCGCGCAAAGAAAACCCAAGTCCACATAATGACCAGTTAAATGATTTATTCGTTGACGCTAGGTAACTACATGATATTCTAAGTGAAGTCCCAAACTCCTAACTCGTCAGCTCCGTACTCCGTCGCTTCCAACCTCCTCCTCCGCTGCTTCCTCCTACATGACTCCAGTCTATCTCCCCGTTCAATTCTCCTCACTCACTTTAAATACTATTTTGTTATCTTTACATGGATCCAGTGCTGCACTAGTATGAGATGTACGTCAAACATAATTACCTTTAATTGTATAATTAATTTCTTTACTTCGGCGTTATACAGAGACCGCCGCGTTACTCAAAAGCTATTGCACAATAACACATTACGTCATATTACTTCGTACTATCTTTATGTCGGACACGACATTCTATTACAAAACAGAAGTGTCGAAAAACAAAAACGAAAATGGCATTTAGATATCATTTGTCCATTAAAATGTTTTTGTAGTACTGACATTAATCACAGCTTTTTGCATTCCATATTTTGAAAATCACTTGAGCTGTCGCAAAGCCCAATTTTTGGGAGGTAGCGAGTAATCTGAAAGGATTCAATGGATTTTTCGACCGTCAACTTTTGTCAAATTTGCTCAAAAAATGATGATCAATTCATAATTCTCTTAAAACATTTATAGATTTTAAAAAATCAGATTGTAGGATTTATTATATTATCTTTTATACTAAAGTTCATTATTACCGTTTGGTCACTTATTTAAGAAAGTTACGGAATTGTCATCTAAAAATGTTATTACAAATTGTTTTGTTCCTCTAAACGCTAATTTCGATATTCAACCTAAGTGTACGTAAACATTAATACTTCGTTTGCTTTGATTTTTAAAGTAAAAAAACATGCCTAAAACGACGTACAGAGGAGCGTTCTAATTAAAGTTGTTCTGTATTCTTATACATTTTGATTTATTTTCGGGAGCAAGGGGTGATTGAGAAGGACAGGCTTGGTTAGATATCAGTCCTGCATTCCCATGCTGTGTTATTTGTGCCTAGTGTAATACTTTGTTAAAATACATTTTGTCTATGATCAATTTTTACCAAAGTCTTTCAAATGTTAGGATCTTGAACTTATTATTTTTCATAAATCAAAAGATTCCGTCATTTACTAACAATGTTAAAATGCATAAAATCTTCGACTTGTTTTATTTATTGTTTTTATTTATTTTATTTACACATATATATTTTCTTCTGTTTGTTAAATTTTAACTTCTATTAATGAAGTGCACAAAATGTTATATGTCCATTATTTTCATGATGTAAATAATTCATTTTTATAGTACGGCGTTCAGCGCAGTGTGAGCTGTCACCCAGATCAGTCACTTCACAGCTGGGACGTGTAAGAAGAGGACGCAGGATAGGTGTGGTGAAGTCGCAAGGTCGAATATTCTATTCATTGAAATAAATTTGTCTTGTAAGTAACATCTTTTCAGCAAGCAAGTACCAAAGGCGTACAAGAAGGGAAACACGTAGACTTTATTTTGTGTAACTCGATAGTTTTAGACCAGTGAATGGCTATCGCCTATGTCATTGGCATACGGGTACTTTTCCGGGAAGAGTCCATTCAATTTCAAGGGATTACAGGTGGGAAGAATCCATTTTGTTTTTAAGGGGTGGCTGGTGGGACGAGTCCATTCAACTTCAAAGGGTGACATTGTGGAGAGCGCATTTTGTTTTTAAAGGGTGATAGGTGGGAAGAGTCCATTCAAATTTAAGGGGTGGCAGGTGGGTTCATTCAATTTCAATGTGTGACAGGGGTGACGGGTGAGATGAGTCCATTCAATTTTAAGAGGTGACAGGTGGGACAAGTCCACGATGTTTACGAGGGTTGACAGGTGGGGCCAGTCAATTACATTTTTATTGGTGATAACTGAGACGATTAAAGATTGTAAGGGCATTTACTGCATAGGACTACTTGGTATTCAAAATTGGTTTGCAAATGCACGAAGGAATTGGAAATAATTTGAATATTATTTTGAATAGACCAGGCAAAATATAAATTTTTAAAAAATTGAACTCGGAGGCATGTGATCAGTTCTGTATCATCTACAATTCCTGAAACAGCCAATGTCATTTACTAAAAAGCAGCAGAATCTTTTTCACTTGATCATTTTATTCAGATTTGTAATTGAATTATATATACAAGTATTTAGATAGTTAAATTGGCAGTAGAAAAAAACAAAATGCCGTATAAAAAGCTATGAATTGCAATATGTAAAGTGAGGAAATGATATTCTGGATGGATAAATTTGTTCTAGAGTACATTGAAAATATCATGACATGGAACAAAATTTAGAAACAAAAACTTCAAAAAGCTGGTTTGTAATTGCACTTTGACTCCGTTCACATGAAACATCTATTTTCTAAAAATCTAAAAATCTTTTTGCGGTAACTTCTGATCACGGCCTATGCCCTGAATACCCCATGGCGTAATTACTGGCAGCGCCGAGAATTAATTACAGCTTTGGAAGTAACTGGCTCGCGCTGCCTGTAATTACGTTGGTGGGATATTCAGGGCACAGACCGCGATCACAAGATACCGCAAATAGATTTTTAGATTTTTAGAAAATAGTTTTTTCATGTGAATGGAGCCTTTATAAATGTTTTTATAGAAATATTTTGGTTCACCTACAGCCTTGCAGCAGGCTTTAGATTTTTAAGTATTCAAATACTATCGTTTTTTTTAATACAAGGTACGTTTGCAAAGCTTTTAAATCATTTCACTTTCAAATATTTTCATGTACCAAAGCAAATCGTCAAAGCAATACCAAGGGTAATATTTACAGATTATATTAGGTAGATAAACTACTGAAACAGTTATTATATTTATATCTTTATACGCCTTTTCTATCTATTACTATTACTATTATCATTATCATACTTTTCCACATCAAAATATAAAAAAACAGACATATATATTTATTCAATTCTCATTTAATAAATGCTTGAATAGGCGTAGAGTTACTGAATGTGAACCAAAGGTAAGGCTGCTAGCAGGCGCATGTCGAGCTGTACCCTTGTGGGTTTCTGAAATGAGAAAATTATTTTTAGCAATTTTTGAGTTCAACTGACAGGCTCTTAAATTGTTACTAAAGACTGATAAATCACATACGATAGAGTATATAATAATAAATATATATAATAATAATGGTAAATAATAATAATAATAATATATATATATAAACAAGGAAACCCAGATTCAGTCGAAATTGTTATAATTTCTTTCCCATCTGAATATCTGTGCGTCTCAAAAATTTCATCAAAATATGCAGAAGACATTTAGAAATATTTTGCTTTAAAATCATACAAAAAAGACAACCCATTTCATTTGCAGATCATAATTATGCATACTATTAAATGCTATCGCTATGCAACAAGTCCTTGGAATTCAGGGCAGAAACCAAATAATTTCCCTTTGATGGCCATACTAAAAAATGCCTGCAAAACTGCATGAACAAAATAATTTAATGAAACATTTTCCTAAGACGATGGACAGCAGACACTGACATAACTCCCAAATGGCACAAAGTTTCACTGTTAATAAAAATGCACAAAACAAGATACTGTCAATTCTGATGCTATAATACATTATACTTTTAAGTTAAAACTACAAAGTCAACATCAAGTTGTAATTATACACAACAGGTAATACCAATGAAAGTAAAAGCAGAAGGCTTCAGGCCCATGAGAGTTCAAATTCACACTTAGATTATGCCAAAATGAGAAAAATGAAAAATTCACAAAAATATTGCATAAATTCAATAAAAAATGATAATCCAATAGAGCTGGTTTTCTCATTTGAGCTGTATGTCAATCCTAAGAATCATTCTTGCATATAAAAAATAACAAGTAACACGGTTTTCTTCTGATAACGTTTGTGGTGACAATGCACATAGTAGGTTTTTAATCAATTTTGATGCAATATTACACAATGATTAACTGTACAATTACCACCAATTATCTACTATTAAATAACATGGATATTTAGAAAATTTGATCTCCAATGGGCTACATGCCTATGGGAATTCTAAGTCCCACATTGAAAATGCCAATATGTGAAAGATAAAAATTTCAGAAAAAATGTTCAACAGAAAAAGAAGCCAATTTAACTGCTTTTCCAACTCAGGCTGCATTTAAGTCTTACGTTTCTTTCCTGTAAGTTTAAGAAAAGTAAGTGACATGATTTTTCGTTAATGGTATCTATGGAGGCAGTGTCAAAAAAGGGCTTTCCTCAATTTTGATGCAATATTACATAATGCATAACAGCATAATCACCATCAAATTGGATATTCAGAAAATGTGACTTGCAAATTGTCTGTAAGCCAATGGAAGTCAAAGTCACAACTTGAAATTGCCAATATGTAAAAAATTTAATTTTCACATAAAAACTGTGTAACTTCCAGAAAAATTTACCAATAAGACAGAGTTTCCAACTACAGCTGTATTTTAGTCCTGTGTTTCTTTCCTGTAAGTGTGAGAAGAGTAAGTGACATGGTTTTCCTTTAATGGTCACTATGGAGGAAGTGCCCAAAATAGGGTTTTCTTCAATTCTGATGCAATATTATGTAATGCTTAACAGCATAATGATCAAGTAATAAAATTAAAGTATTATGGATATTCAGAAAATGTGGCAAGCAAAATATTCAAGCCCATGGAAGGGCAGAGTCACACCTTGAAAATCCCAAATTGTAAACCAGAGATAACTGTACTATAAAGAATTTCCATTTTCATTACTTTTTTTACATAAAACAAAATCAAATTACTGTCATTTTTATATGAACAACTGAGAAAAGTTGTCAAAGGAAAAAATCAATAGAACAATTTTCAATGTCCAACTTGGGCCATTCTGAGATTCTGAACCTAGTGAATGACTGAGTCTGACGAACTGCAATGATATGAGTCCACTTACATTTTTTACACTTTATTACACAATAAACGATAACAAGTTTACTGTCATTTTCCTATAATCAACTAACAATATTGTTGAGAAGCAGAAAATGTTAAAAGAACATTTTTACATATTTAATTAGTTCTATAATGTGACTGTTCACATGCCTAAGAATTAAATCTGAAAAAAAAACACTTATATACAAAAAAAGGTAGAACTTCAACAAAATTTAACTGATCAAGCTTATTTTCAAACTTGATCTGTCAGTCAGACTGATCACTCCTGTGAGTTTGCAAGACAATAGGTCAATTGGTTTTCCTTGAAGTTTGAAGTGTGTTATAGGGTTGCATATATGCTTTAAAAATGTAAAAAAAAACAGCATATTTTTTTTAAATGGCCCAATAATGCAGATTTTCCAACTTAACCTGCTTTAAAGAATATTCATTAGTTCTGTAAGTTTCAAACCAAAAGTTAAAACGGTTTTCCACTTATCGTGTTATCAGTGTTGCATATATATGCTGATAAAAGTGAAAAAAACAGCAACTTTTTATAAAAATAGCCCAATCATCCTGATCCAGACACATCTGTGTCTGTACATAAAAAGCCAAAAAACAGCATAACTTTGGAAAAGTGCCGATTTCTTAACTCAACCGGCATATTATTCATCAGTTCTATAAGTTTCAAGCCAAAAGATAAAATAGTTTCCACTTAGCAATGATGGCGGTGGCGACGACAGATGCAGGTGATGGCTATATGTACAGACACACCTATGTCTGTACATAAAATGCTTCTTTTCTTACTGGCAGTACTGGATCACGTGGACCCCTCTTGTTTGCAAACATCTGTGCCTGGCCCTGAAAAAAGTATGCATAGTTTAGACGTTAGCCTGCTAGTTGACACCAGAATTAACCCTAGCAAAACACACAAGAAATGTCAGGAAAATATCGGTTTCTGAAAAATATATTATACCAATATTCCCCTCTTGAAAAATTTGAATTTTGACTAGCTAAATCATAGTTTTAACATGTACCAAAGGGCACCATTTGCTCTACATAACACTAAAAAAATTTAAGCCGGTTAGTTGATAACAATTTAGTGAGACTCCCCAGGGAGTTAGATCGATCCAGATTGATCGATCTATGTATGGGAACCCAGTCTTAGAGGGCGAACGGTACAACTTGGTACAATTTAGAATTATGATTCAGCTAGTCAAAATTCTAATTTCAAGAGGGGAATATCTGTGTGAGTTTTTTTCAGAAATCGAAATGGGGGGGGGGGGGGTATTCTTTGGCAATATAAAACAAGTTTTGTTATTAATGACTATATGCCGTGTTAAAAGTGCTGCGTTTTGATATTTTTACAAAATTTGGAGGTAAAAAATCATGAAAAATTGCTTTGGAAATAGCGTTTTGAGTAGACAACATGGTCAAGCCATAAATGAGAACTAAGATCTAATATATATTAGATCTTAGATGAGAAATACCAAAATAACATGGATGGCAAAACCCACTGTTCAACATGCAGGCGTCAAATCCATTTTTTAAATGTATCAAAGATAAGTTACCGACAAATACATGTACCTAAAATCATTGTCTTAGAATGTTTCGTTGAATGGGTTAAAACTATAATATACCTTTAGTTAGTATCCTGTCCTCCTCGCGTCCACACCCTGGTCACTCAGAACTGAAGAAGAAGTGACAACTCTTTCAAGGGTTCAGTTTTCAAATGATCCTATACCCTGGTAGGTAGGAGGCTGTAAGAGCTAGGTGACCGCCCTTTTTATTTATTACCATAATTTGACAGACAAATTTTGCTTAACAATGTACTAAAATAGTAATGCACGGGGCCGTAGCGATAGTCCGAAGGTTCAATAGTCCGAAGGTTCATTGGTCCGAATATTCACTATAGAACCTTCGGACCAATGAACCCTTGATTAAAAAATCGATGAAAATGTTCAGGCCTTCCCAACTACCAGACTCGGCACCTACGGGTCCAGAATAAACCGGTATATCTGACCACACTACCCGTTTTCAAGGTGTGTGTCAGATCGCATAAAAGAGTATCATACCCTATCACAAATTCTGTAAGCCTACCTGTCATCCGGGTATCGCGCCTCGTTTTCGTCAAGTAGGAGTCGCATGAATACAACAGACGACTCCCTCAATCAGGGGGTGGAAACGCGCTACTTATATGATTAAGACGAGCCTAGCCGTCAGTACCGGTTATTGTTTTGTGACCTTGAGGAGCAATTAGGTTTGGTCGTTGCGGCACGCATCAACAGTAGTTGAACTACCACACCTGGGTCTTTTGTTTTTGACAACTGTTCACTCGTCATCGAGGCGCTTGTTCAAGACTACAGGCTGATATCTACTAGTACTACCAGTGGCTTCATTAGTAACGTTCCCACAATACTTAAGTTTTCTGTCCGTGCGTACAAACCCTGAAAAAGGACAGCCTCGCTGACGAGAACAATGGACGTTTCTCACCCCTCTCTAGGATTACCCCTGCCCTCAATCTCGTCCATCCCGGTAGTCACAAAAATATTTAACCCCCGACAGAATATGCTTCTGCTATCAAAATTAGGTCTACTTTTCTAAATTAATATATAAGTTTGCAAGTTCTTATTTACAAAACATCATTGGCTATGTCCGAACCTAAATTTTATGTTAAAAATTGCGGTACTGTCAGATTTTAGCATAAACAGAGAAAATTGCAGCAGCGCATGAATCTAGATGAGATGCACTACTTTCCAACCCCGCTTAGGATCATTGCTATCACATCGCGCACCAGGCAAAATCGGTGTGGTGGCTGATACTCTGTAATGCGATCTGACACACACCTTGAAAACGGGTAGTGTGGTCTGATAAACCGGTTTATACTGGACCCGTAGGTGCCGAGTCTGGTAGTTGGGAAGGCCTGATGTTACCACTTTTCGGACCAATGAACCTTCGGACCAATGAACCTTCGGACTATCGAGACGCCCCTTAATGGACAGGAAGAGTTTGTTTAACGAATATTTCAAAATACACTAGATTAAATGAAATAAATAAATAAAGCTTTAAACCCTTACATACCCCAAAGTAAAATGACATTATGTAGGTCACTGGTTATCCTTATATGGTCTGCTGCAATCTGAGCAGTTTTTGCCAAGTTTGACCAGGGAATTATGTCGGTATAATTCCCTAGTTTGACAAGCCAAACTGTTCTATAGCGCCATCTGGAGGGGAACAGAAATGATCTTCTCTGATGCATTCGGTAACTTACAGTGTAACATGTACTGTTGGTGTTATTTTCATAAATGACTAGTACTTTATTTGTATATATGCCAGATCGAATAACATTATTATCGCCATTTCTGTAGTGCTGAAAATTAAGCGCGCGCACACACACACAAACACACACACACACACACACACACACACACACACACACTCTAAAACAATCTGCTGTATCTACAATCAGTACGGGCATCATCTCTGCTCACAGTCAGCTATAGTTTTTGATCTGTTAAGTATATGAAACCAAAAACCATCCAAAAACGACCATAAATAAAATACTACACCAGTCTACCATAATGTAAAAATGTTATGATAAAATAAATAAACCCATTATTAAAATAGAATTGAATAGATGAAAAGTGAATAGATAAACTATCAAAAGAGGCCAAGTGCTAGTGTTTTAACCGAATTGAAAAGAAAAAAAACATGCACGTACCGTACTGATATATTTCATTATGAAAACTTCAGATAATGAAACAAAACTTCGACAAGGCTGTGCAAGACGATCTCTGAGGAAGCCTCTGTCGATAAAGCAGTACCGCCGACTCCTTCTGCAGAGGACTAGGAAATAGTAGCGGTTTCGCGCATATCATGTGGATTTCGCCGTAGCGAGTAACCCCTCGGAGATGAGTTGATCCTGCTAGATCGATGTAGGTTCGGGAACGGGGTCTTAAAAAGCGATGGGAGCATTTGTGATTGGGGCGGAATTAACCCTTTGAAAAATGTTACCTACATTAGGCCACACTTTCTTATTTTCATGGATGACATCCTCTGGGGACCCCGAAATCGGTGCGAGAGGACGAAAAAAAAACAGTCCAAAGAAAAAATGCTGCTTAAGTAAAGGAATGCTGTCAGTACACAGCTGGAAACACAAATTTTACCACAGAAACACGTATCAAACTAACAATATGTCTTTATCCATGCTCTCAAAATATTAAAGCATTGTGAATACTTCGTAGAAAGGTAAAAAAAGTCATGAATAGACGGGCCCGTAGCCAGGGGGTTAGAAAGAACCACCCCTTTTGCTGGGAAAAAGTCCACTCTGGGTAAAATTTGACCTAGATACATTAAGTTTTTATGGAAAATGGTCCACTTTTTCAAAAAAAGACCCCCCCCCTTTTGAAATTGCTGGCTACGGGCCTGATAGACATGCTGCATATTACCCAATCTATTTAAGGTTATTTCATGCATTTTGTTGGTATAACAGTCAATAAAACAAATATCAAACAAACAGCATGTCTTTATTTGTACTCTCAGAATATTAAAGCATTATGAACACTACACAGAAATGTTAAAAAATGATGCAAAGATATGCTTAATACTACCAATTCTATAAAAGGTCATTTCGGTCGATGCCATTTGGTCTGCTTCGACTCACGTGAAGCAGCCAAACTGTCGGGTGGCCTGACCGACCTACAGCCCACCAGATACCTCGACGCCCTGTGTACCCTTTTTTTAGTTACAAAAAAACTGGTATGTGTTGCTTTTCCGGGCGATAATTGCTGGCCGCCGCCAGCCTTTCGCATAATTGTAAAAAAATGGATATCTCCATGCCCAATATCAATGGCATAACAATCCAATACGACGGCCCTGTTCTCTTTATGACTTTATATAATTAATTGTCCTGTAGTTTGAAAGCACATTTTCGGGCAAATTCAATATCGACGTTTGCGACAACCGACTTCGGGAGGGGGGGGGGGGGAGGAGAACGGACGAAAATCGGTGCGCGCGAAGGATGTCATCCATAAAAATCAAAAAGTGTGACCTTATAAGAAGTTGGTACAATACGTGCCTGAACATATTGTTTTAACATCTTCATAATAAAAAACACTTGCATAAACGAGGTTTGATTTATTTGTGGTATAAATTTATTTTGTCAGTTATCACTTCGATGCGTAAAACAGAAATTAAACGCCTTTGTAGAAATCCGCATTGTAGTTTATAAAGACTATAAGTGTAAATTACCACATTTAATGCTTAAGTTATAAAATTTAATGCTGCAAAGCTGTAAAAATGTGCAAACAAAAAGCAGAAAATAATGATGCACAAATAGGCATTATGTCAATTGTGATGCAATAATACAAGATGCTTATCACCAAAGTTAACATCAAATTAAGGCTTCATGCCCATGAGAGTTCAAGTTCACACTTTGAAAATGCCAGAATGATAAAAATGAAAATTTCACAAAAAATTGCATAAAGTAAAAAAAATTATCCAGTTAGTTTTCCAATTTGTCAATACAAAGGGTCATTCTTGTAAGTTACAAAATAATAAGAAACATGTTTTTATAATGTTTGTGGTGGCAGTACACAAAGTAGTTTTTTATCAATTTTGAAGCAATATTACATAATGATTAACAGCATAATCACCACCAATTTTTAATTATGCACAGCAGCTAACATGCATGGATATTTAGAAAATGTGACTAGACATAAGTTTTCAGTCCCATGGAACTTGAAAGTCACACCTTGAAAACACAAAAATGTAAACAAGAGATAAGTACCGGAATGCGTTTATTTCCATTTTCAGTACTTTTTTACATAATCCGAAATAGCCCATTTACTTTCATTTTTTTATATGATCAACTAAAAATTTGTTGAGATGAAAAAATATCAATAGATCAATTTTAAATGTCGAATTTGCTCCGACTTTAAATGTCGAACACAGACGCTAATCGCCAGTCACCTCTTTTCCATCCACTTTTGTCTCCTACCGCAAATATGATTCTGGTTTCATGGCGTCAGACTCTAGTTTCTGGTTACTAGGTTCGTTTTGAAAAATTCCACATGACAACGATTTACAGCCTCGCGGGAATTCTTTTCCCTTGACGCTCCTTGTCGCGCTGTAAGTCATGCAGCATATCTCTCAAAACAAATTGACTGCAAATTAAGCAAGATTTTGCACCTTCAAGTATCATAGCACGGCTTCAGATCATATGTACCTATTATTTCTACAAGTATTTTCTGCCCAAAATACCAAAAGAAAAATATGTTATTTCACTATGTTGTTGGAAAACTGCTTTTTTCTCTGGGCCCACATCTTCACTCCTGTTCACCTCCAGCTAAAAGTGACCACTCAGCTTCACGTCTTACACCACTAAACGTCACTTCCGGCACAATCCTATCTCCTCCGGTATCCTCTATTACGCTGTTGTATGTTTTATTTTTACTGTTACATACCAACTAGGCAACCGTTCATCGTGTGAATTTGGGTATGTGAGTAGTAGAACATTAACTAGCTTAACCTTTGAAATACTCCAATATAATACAAATTCTTTTTAAAATGCGGCTCCTAAGTGAAAGGATACATTCTTTACCAAACGGTTGACATAGGGAGTTTTGACCCGCCGCATCACCAGAAGGTTGGGTTGTTCCATGAAAGCCACTCAGAGGGTTAGACAACATTCTAACCAAACAGGCACATGGGAAATATTTACTGGGTAAGGCCGACCGAAGGAAACCACACCCAGAGAGGAGAGAAAGTTAATACGCCTTCCTCGTAGAAAACATTTCATAACATTAAGGAACTTGTAATATTTAGCAAAAAAAGGGCACACCATATTTCTGAGTTTACAGTCCGAAGACGTTTGTACAATTATTTAGTACAACTATTTTGGCAAGGTTTCTGTTAGGAGAACAGTGATCACTGTCAGGAACCGTCTATACGTCGAGTCAGATGGTATACTGGAACCATGACATGGTCACCAACCAAAAACTGGACATTGATGCGGTTTTAAAATGAAAGCAGGTCCGGTCTAGACGACAGGACGCGTAAGTCATACATGGGGTGTATTGGCAACTGTGTTGTAGGCGAGCTGGCAGTGGTCGACTGGAATCTTAACAAAGACAGGACAGCCCACATACTGTAAGTCATACATGGGGTGTATTGGCTACTGTGGTGTAGGCCAGCTGGCAGTGGTCAACTGGAACCTTAACACCTTGCATCCAAGTACTGGAAATAAAACTGTCGAGAATTGCTTTGAGGACCATTATCACTCATTTATGTTTCAGCATGATAATGCTATCCCACGCACAGTTAAGGCAATAGTAGGCTGTTTATATGGAAACCAGATCCATACCCCCATTAGCAGTTCATTCCCAAGATTGTGTGTGATATCCTCGGAAATGGATAACTGAGGGATAACCCTGCAACCAAAAATGATCTTATACTAGCTTTGCACCGTATGTGAAACACCATCGCTGCGCAGAGGATACAGAACTTTTTGACTCCACGCACAGAAGCGACAGGTGCGTCCTCTTATCCAGAAGATATTGAACAAAATACCAGAATGTGGCCCTGTTTTTTTTTTTTTTTTTTTTTT